TGCAGAGCGTTGTTGAATGTCAAAATCAAATATAGGCATGGGGAAAACTGTTGTGTGAATGGAAAGTCTGATCACATACTTGTCCTGTCATTTAAATGCGTGGTGGGTTCCTCTGGAACTGAAAATCTGCCTGGTAACAAGCCAACTTGTACAGAGATACAACTCTGAGCCTGTTTTCATAACTTTTTAGAATCTACTCTTTTTGAAGGTTTGAAAATAAGTTTATATTTGCAGTTTATTTACAGCAGCCTTTGCATTTTCATATAGAGGCCTGGGACTTACTGTCTGCTCAACTCACCGGGATGATGGTATCCATAAAACCAGACAGAAGGCAACTTAAGTAATAAGCATTAACCACAAAGCACAGCTCTGAGGTAGAAGAAATGCCTCTTATGTAGATCTGAAGACTGAGGCACAGAGATTAAATATTTATTCAGCATCATTTGAAAGGCAGTGGGGCATAGACAGGATTTGATCTTAGCTCTGGACAACCTCAATCTGGTGCTTGATAATGACCTTTTTATCAGCTCATAGGTTAAATGCCAAGAACTCATGCAAAGCTTTCTTGTTTTGAAGAACCAAACGCATGAATAAACAGTAATGTTTTAGGCTCCATAGCCTGAAACAACCCTGAGGTGTTTTTAGCATGTGAAAAATGAAGTCGTGGATTTTAAATCAGTTTCCTGTATAGATGGTCTAGTTCTTATCTACTGTCTTTCTTGTCACATGCAAGATACTTTTAAAAACTCTTTAGTAAAGGTACAGTGATAGTTGACGTTAGGAAAAATGTATTTAGCATACTAACATCTGTATTACCAAAAACATAAGAACAACAATTATTCTTAAGTAGAATGTATATTTTACAGTTCACATGAGAGTTTTCTCATGTGTGCTGTTGCAAGTGTTGCTCGTTCATGTGAGAACTTCTCTGGGAGCAGAGCAGCAATCAAGCCCTGCAAGACCTTCTGAGCACTCACTGCTGTGAAAGTTGGAGGTGCAAGATGCTACCAGTCAGGTATGAGGACGAGGAAAGAATATGAAAAGTTTTAGGGTGTCATACTCTGCCACATCAGTATGCAATTTATTGCTATTTGTTACTGTTCTATTGTCATCTTTTAATTTTAATCAATCAAAACTTCACAATAATGTAATTGGGTTTTTAAATATGTCTGGGAGAAGCTCTGAGAGAGACGTGCATTTTTTTATATATAGAAAAGAAATTTGTTCCATTCTGGTCAGAACGCATTAATTGTTGGTCCCCGCTAAGCTGGATATTCGCCAAAGAATAAAAGCTCAGGAATAAAAGCAAAGCAGTTACTTTTAGTGGATTAATGTAGGAGAAATAAGATATTTCAGGTTCTTTAATACCCCCTCCTCCCTCCGTCCCAACTGTGTAGCTGTTTTATCCATTCAATATGGGAGAGTCCTGCCTTGGATGCTTTTGGCAGTGACATCACCATTTAATCTTTCTTCTGTTCATTTGCAGCTACTTTGGAGCCGCAGTTCCTTTTTATGTCACTCCTCCAATATTTAGAATTTGTAGTTTCCTCAGATAACTGGCCATCTTGACAAGAAAAGAGTGACACAATCAGCTGTCAGATACTTTTCATTCCTGATTTCCATGCCAAATCTGACATGTGGATATTGGGATAATAATGTGTTATCTTAATTAGGTGTATTCCATAACGTGTCTTTTATAACAGACAGAGCAAATGAAACTACTGCAGTGCCTTGCCAGGGTATCTTTGAAATGAGATTCCCTACTTAAGGGTTTTCTTCCTTTTTAAATAAATAAAGAGTAAACGAACAATTGCAGACTCCAAATCTGAATCCTAGCACTTCCTGTTAAACCTCACAAAATAGTGCAAGAAACATGTTTGGTCTGCTTTCCAAGGCTTGATGATGTGATAGGAAGGATGTTGTATGTAACATCAAAGAACGGTGTTGTTATACCTCTGAAGCATGACTTCTGGAAGTCCAAGTGAAATAATGTATGTTCTTTTTTTTTTTTTTTTTTCTTTTGGACATGGCAGTTTTTAATAGGCTTGGATTCTTATCAGAAATGTTCCAACAATTTCCTTCATTGTGTTTGCATGTACTTTCTTTTTGACTAGCAAAATTTCTCTCACACTTCCCAAAGCCCTGTTAAGTGACTCCCTTCTGGGCTTAGTTAAGAGCATTGCTGAGCAAATTGTGAGCTGCCAAAACCAGCCAACAAACCACTGGTGATGAGCGAACATTTCTGTTCTTTAAGCCTGTGCTGAACATTGCTATTTTTTTAATTCCAGCCCATGATGTTCAAGTGGAAAATGGTGAAGTTTGGATTGTGGGCAGCTTGAGCAGTGTTTTGGACCTGAGTATACAGAGTCCTGGCAAAAGACTGGTGTGGGTCATAACTTTTGCATTTGAAGTCTATATACATATGTTAGGATGAAAGTGTTCCTGGCCCGGTGATCATTATAGAAATTGACTTTGTGGATCTGTACAGGATGATCTAGGACTGGAATGTAGATCTCAGGTTGGATATTAGAAAATATTTCTTCTCAGAAAAAATGGTGAGGTATTGGAACTGGCTGCTCAGGCTGGTGATTGAGTCACTGTCCCTGGAGCTGTTCAAAAGCTTTGTGGATATGGCATTGAAGGACATGGTTAGTGGGTGGCTTGGTGGTGGTGGGTTGATGATTGGACTAGGTGATATTAGAGGTCTTTTCCAAACTTCATGATTTCATGATTCTATGATCTGTGTGTTTATTTCTTACTGGAATTGATTAGAGACATACTTGTGAAAGATTATAAAATGTGAAGCTGTAGAGAGCCCTGAAGAAAAAAAGAGTGAAGCACCAACGGTATTTCATAGGGCATGACTGGGATAATTTCTTCTCTGTTGTGTATGTTGTATTTTCCTCCCTTTCTTCCTCCAAACGTAGTCTAAAAGGAATGGATCTTATCTGTTGCTGCATGTGTGCACTGTTCTTTGTAAGGTGTTCTCATCATTGTCCTCAAACCCATCCATTAATTGTCTACATGACAAACTGATTTTCTTCCGCAAGTTCTTTGTACGCTCAGGTCTTCCACTGTAAAAGGATCATAGAACTACATAATTGTTTGAGTTGGAAGGGACCTTTAAAGGTCATCTAGTCCAACTCCCCTGCAATGAACAGGGACACCTACAGCAAGAGGATATCTATATCCCAGACACAGTTATTCATAAATCCCATTGAGATCCTTGGATGAGATACCAAGGCCATGTCTACATTAAGAAAATACAGATTGCAAGAGTGGATCTTCAGGGTGGAACAGCCAACGGTTTCAAGAGGAAGGAGACTACTCTGTAATGCTAACCAAAACATGGCAGGTAGAAGCAATGGGGTGGTTTGCTTCAAAAGTGTCTTCCGAATATGAATACAAATGCAGAGATAGCCATACCCAAAGTATCTTGGATTTAATTTGGAGAAAAGATGGGCTATATTGAAGACCAGAAACATGTAATATGCTGTAATATGCTGGAAATCAGTTTAATCTTACATCTTCATGTGTGAGTGCTCATGGTAAGTTTTTGAACTCTAGAGCTTTGAGCCAGCTTCACCAGATGAAGGACAAAGAAGTACAGAGTAGTAAGGGGGAGACTGTTTGGAAAGAAAATAATAAAATGGTAAAGAGTCTGCTGGTCAGGGATTGTGGGGGACCTGCTTCTACAGATTCCTGTTTACTCAGTGTGGAACCTCTCCAGCTGGAAACATGAAGACATGCCAGACATAGCCACAGATGTGCTTGTTATGAAGGATTGCGTGGAGAAGGGCTTGAACCTAGTTCTTCCATATCCTATCCCTAGGGAGGGCCACTAACCACCAGCTTTTGGAGCTGGAAGGCAGGTCTACTTGGTGTAAGTCCTCTGCTGTTGAGTGCTAATCCCACCTTGAAGCAGACTTAATCTTTCCCAGGAGACATTATATTAAAAGCAGTAAATTCCTATAATAAGTTGGGGTTTCAGAAAATCAGTATTTTCTAATACAGAAATATTTATTTGAAAAATTCCCAGGTTATTTTTGGCGTTTCAGTCACAGAAGCCACTTTATGGCTCCCTTGCAATGCCCCAGTGAAGGTTGTGTGCTTGGTTTCCTCTGGGTCCCTCAAGCACAGCATTTAGCAGTGTATTGCATGTCTGCATTTCTGTAGTAGCTGCTAGCTGTAACTAAGGCGGAGGGCTAACATGATGTTAAGCATGTTGCAAACTAGAAGGCTTTGTGGTGGTCTCCAAGATGTTTGTTATCTAAATATATTCAAAAAGCTGGAAATGGGAAGTGCAGATGGAGCGTGTGTGTACACACAGTGGTGAAGCAAAGAAGCACTAGATATAAATGACATTTTAAATGTATTGCATGTCAAATCTTCTTACGTGTAGTATGGAACGGGAGAATTCTAAAAAAAAAGTTTTGAAATGATGTAATGATTGATAAAGATATCCTAAACTAAGGGACTTAGTCAGCAAGAATATTAAATGCCTTAATGAATTCTAGAGAGCAGTACTGTGAGAAAAGGTTTCACTGATGATTTAAAATGGGTCGTGAATTTCTTGCAGATCTCATTTTAATGTGGATGTTACTTAAGAAGGATGTGGGAAGGCACAACAGGCTATCTCCTTAAATGCAAATAGCTGTATTTGCATACTATTTATGTTGCTTTATTGGGTGCAAACTACTGACTGCATAAGCTCCTCCTGCCAAGCAGGCTGATCCAGGTCATGTGTAGGTAGGTGATGTCTTATAATTCAATTAGCCAAACATAAACCAGAAAACACCTGTGTGATGCTGTAATTGATGATGGAAGTTTAGGAAGGTGAAATAAGTGATCAGCCCACTAATACTCTATCCATTATATATCTGATGGATAGCAAAGCGTTGTGTGCTTGCTTTATAAAATTTGTCTCTCATAACGAATGCAGTCCCTTTGTTTCTTTTATGCTTTTTTTCTTTAAAAAAAAAAAAAAAAAAAATCTTTAGGTTAGAGCTGTACATGTTGCTGGAGAACGAGCACATCTTTGAACCAGAGACAAACAACGAATCTTTCTCCTTCTCACATCCTCTACCCTATGAGAAGGTAACATCTTTTCTGTCAGTTCTATCCTTGTTTAATCAGCGAATATATTGGGTGATTTAGAATGAGCTCAACATGAAAGAACATTAATTCATTTACCGTGGCTGAGAAGAAAGAAAGAAGTGGTCAGGTACAATTTAAATTAAAAGATGACTAGAGAGCTTCTAGGCACAGCTGTCATAAACCATAATGCCACTCAGAAGCTGAGAGTTGCACAAGAGTGCTGGCAAAGCACGTCCTTCCTCAAATAGGCTGTTCCAGGCCTTTCTTTCCCGACTTCTCTACAAACAGCAGATTATAATATTTAATTCTGTGTGGGGATAGAAGCTCTGTGAGTGATTACTATTTGTAAAAGTTTTCAAACTTGAAAAGCATATAGCATTTTTGCTATGATAGGTGACTAAAGGATTTTTAGGAATAGTAAACATTAAGTGTGGTAAAAGAAAATCGTGTTTTATCAAAACAAGACTGGTAATGGAGTTCAAGCAGTTTATACATGCACAACTGGGAAGTCATCATATATCACTGAGGATTGGTCTGCAAGTGGAAATTTTGCTGGCAAAACAACACTGAGAGTGAATAGGGCAATTATGCATGGGATGAGGTGTCAAAGAACAAATAGGAATTCCTATGGAAAAGGATGGAAGGTCAGTTGATGGCTGATGCCAGTTTTATTGCATTTTTTCTGCACTATTTCATAATGCAATTACCACTTAGTAACAGTGTGGAAAATCTCACCCTTAGGCCGGTGCAACTGACATTGTCTTAATAGAGACACAGTTAGTTACACTAAGAAAAAAAATCCTTTTTCTGAAGTACGGAGCATTTTATTTTGAGTGCTAGTTTAAGTTTGATTGACAGAAGAATTTAAAAAGGACAAGCTCTGCCAGAGTAGCTCTGCTAGAAAACTTTTTCCTAGAGACAAACTGGAAGGCTTTTGAACTGTGGGTTCTAATGTGCAGTGCAGAAAGAAAGAGAAATGGATTCTTGCCTGTTCCAGATAACAGTGGAGAAGCTGCCCAAGCCGTCGCGCCTGGCCATGCTGCTGAATCGCTACACTACAGATCCCCGGTATCAGCAACTCTTCATCAATCTGGTAAGGCTGAAGCCAACTCTAAAAACAAACATTTCCTCCATGAACAATGTGTTTGTTATATTTTCTCATTTGTTTATGATGGCTGTGTCAGCCGCACTGATTTACATAAACACTGCCAATCCTGGGACGTTACACTCTCAACAAAAGTAGCTGAGTACAAACAGCATTCCGAAGTTTTAATTCATATTGTATAAACATAACAGATGTTGATAAAATGAGCCAAAAAGAAAATACAACAAAGGAGACCATTTCAAGGGGGCTTTTGATTAAAATACATTCCAGATTGACAAAATGATACAATGTTAATGGAATAGATCATTTAAATGTCACTGTTTGGCTCTTATAGACCTATAAAGCAAATATAAAGCAATGCTTTCGAGTTTTTAGTCTCCATTATGCTGCACTGCCTATACATCAACTTATAAATAAAGCTGTATTTCTTCCCCCTTTCCTTTTTTTTTTAATCCCTGCTATGACATTACCACATTTGTTTCCTAAATACTGTACTAAAATACTGGGTCCAAAAGCAATAATGTGTTTGGTATACTGAGCAAGCCCTAAAATAAATACGTTATAAACAAAATAAATGTAGTTTCTGCCTCAGTGAATTTCAGCACTGAAACTGAAATGGCGGGCACAGTGAGAGATCTAGGTGAGAGAGAGCTTAGGCTCAGACGGGTTTTATTTGAAAAGGTAATATCAGCTCATGTTCAATGAAGATTAAGATCCATCTAGTCTAGATTCCTCATTTTTGAGATAGCTATCAAGAAAGAAATGCTCCTAAAACACATTATCTAGTTTTTGTAATAGATGGGGAAACTGAGGTGGAGAGAGAACACATGGCTTTCCAAAGTTCAAAAACATGTCATACACAGGAGTAGAAGCTGGCTCTGTTGGGACTGAATCCAGTGCTTGAGTTATTGGGCCAGACAACATTTTTTGCCATGGATAACCCATTCAGTTCAATGAAGTTGCTCATTGCTACCTAACTTTTTGTACCTTATGTGATCCCTGAAGCAGAAAGCTTAGCATCTCTTCCAAAAACTTGTTATTCCTCATGAAAGGTCTTTTTATGGAATCCACAGAAATATTCATTCTGAAATTTTTGGTCTTAATGATTTCCTGTGGCAGTGAATTCCACAGCAAAAATGTATGTGGCATAGAAGAAATGAAGCATTTCTACTTTTTTTTTTTTTTTTCTCCTTATGTCTTTGAATATTTTCCGAATAAATGAAAGGGTAAGAATGGACATGTCACCCTATACTATGCATTTACTTGTATTATTTTATCATCTTTTTGTTTCATTTTTCCACTGGGAAAGAATACACTGGGAGGCATAATATATCTTCCCTGACAGAAAGTGTCCAAGTCACAAGTAGGATGCTGTGTAATTACATGAAAAGTAAAAACTTAGTGAACATCTATATAAGCTCGGTTAACAATAAAATTAGTTTAGCTGCATTCCTATCAAGTTATAGACCTTGTTGCTTTCTGTGACCAGAATTCAGTATTTGCAGTCTTCTTCCCAGAGCCGTGTGATTGTTTTCTTTGTCCTCTTCTTCACAGTCTGTGTTTCTTCGTGAATTGACTTTTATAAGCATTTACTGAAAAATATTACAGGATATAAGAAATGGTAGTGTAATGAAATAGCAACTATAAAACATCTAAGACTTAAGAAATATTGGGGTCATTGGCTATTTCAAAGTAAAAACTCAGACCACGTCAGTTTGGAAAGTTCTAGTCATAAAAGCTCATGTACAGTAAACCTGATGGTTTAGCAAAAAAAAAAAAAAAGTGCTTTTTACTGTGGTATCTCCTGACATTCTGACTATAATTGGGGATGGGAAACATGAGAGAAAAGCAAACATCCCTCAGGTTTAGGACCTCTTCTCCCACCCTGGCCTCTGCTTGCAGCCCCCATGGCAGGGATGTGCTCACATTTTTGTGTTCTCCCCGTGTCTCCCCTCTTTGTCTTACAGGAGCCATACATAAACAAATCGGCCATGTCAGTCCAAGCCCATTTCTCACTGCAACGCACGTATATCATCTTTCGCACCCTGGGACTGCGCCACCTCACTGTGGTCGACTTGCAGAATCGAGTGGTTGGTGTGATCACCAGGAAGGACCTGATGCCTCTCCCCTTGGAGGAGAGGCTCAGACTCCAGCTGTCTGCACACAGCCCTGATGGGGGGAGTAGCCTCTGGATTTAAGGCAGTGGATAGTGGATTTAAAGCTATGGATGCATTCTCGGGATTTGTCGCTTCTTTCTGAGCTCATGCTTCTTCAAGAAAAAATAATCAGAGCTTTTCCACTTGATCCCTTCTGGAAAAGAGATGCTTAAAAGCTGTTGTAAACTAGACATGTGGGGCTGTAGCCTAGAGCTACGTCTCTACAGCTGTTTGGCGATTGCAAAATTCATTGACTTAAATGCTTGCGAGGCAGAATAGGAATTCATGTGTTTATGAAAGATGCATATAAAATCAGATCTGTAGGATGGATATTAAGGACTCTTTCTTCACACCGTGTCTGTGCCTCCCAATGAAAAAATGTCATGACCCCTAGCAGCAAAGTTATGCTGGCAAAACCTTTGAGCTAGGACTAAATTTCCAACCACTGAACATCTGCTTCCAAACCAGTGTTTTTATGTTGAACCATGTAAGTTTAATTGAAAGGAAATACTGCCTTGAGAGAAGCAGCCCATTGAAAGAAACAGGGGATTGGGCTTTCATATTGGCCTATGTGTTACTGCAATCCAAAGGGCGAATTGAAAGTGAATGAGAAATCTGACATGCCTTTCTATTGCTTAAAGTTCTTCAATTTCTTGACTGCTAGAATAGGCTCTCTTTCTCTCTTTTATCCTGATAAGAGAACATTTTTAGTTCAGGTCATGTGTAGGGAGGTATGTAACAAATTCTCATAATGGGGATGTAGCATGATAAATTGTCAGAGCAGTTTTTGATAGCAGCATATTTAGAAACTAGAAAAAAAAGTAAATAATTCGTCATGATTTTGTAGTCATGCAATGTTTGAAAGTTTGGAAAGGATTGATTGTTAATAAATTAATGTGAACAATTTTTTGGACGAAGACACTGTTAGATCTCCTTCTATGACTTCATAATTGATGTTTAATTTTATTCTGTTAAATAACATAGGGATTCACACAGCTTTGAATATCAAAACCTAATATGCACAAAGGAATTCACCACTATTAATGCTGTTATAATGAATATCAAGAAAAACCAGTAATAATTTACTGTTTCTAAAAAGTTGCCAAATTCCTGAAAATGAATTTCTGGTATTTGAATCACGCAGCTTTGAGTTTCTTATGAATCAAAGATTTGTTGGATTTTCTCCTATTTTCCCTGCTGGATCTTGTCTTAATTAACAATAATGTTGCTTTTGTAGCACCACAGAGAATGCACAGCTCTTTAAAACTGAAATGTCCAAGTCAATGCAAACAGCTGGCAGACCAAAAAGGTATGTAGGTACATGAGAGAAGCTCTTTAAATGGTCAGTTAAAATATGGTCATGTACAAGACGAGAAATGCCTTCTCAGTCATCCATCAAAGAGGCACAGAGCTGGATGTGTATTCAGATCATGTTACAGTTCGTAATGTTTTGTTCATTAGCATTTCAGTAAGGTTGCTGTCATTGTCAGCCTATGCCTCACCTACCCAAAGAATGCAAAAAAAAATCTTGAAGGAATTAGGCCTGATTTGTCCAGAGTTTTACTGGCTGATGGTGCTAGCAGAATAGGAGATCTAATCCATAAAGAGATTAAGGGATTTCCCTTGAACACAGCGAGAATCAACTTTTCTTGTGATAATCAAATCTGAATAACCTCGTTGTGAATTTGTGGTTTTGTTTAAAAACTGTTGATTTCCTTTTCATTATCTCCTGCATATACAAAGCACACAGAGGCATGGGTAATGTAATTGCTTTTTGCTGACAGTATCTGTGGCTAAATGTCTCAGTGCAATCTGTAGTCAGAGTGTACTGTGCTGGAGACAGCTGGGAAATCAGTAACTCATTACCTGACTTTGAACAGGTCACTTAAATGCTTGGCAAATCATTTTCTGTGCCTTTAAAATTGGAACGATAGCATGGACCCACCACAGCTCCTGTGAAAAGCATGTGTGCCAAATATTATATGAATATAAACTATTTATAATAATGCTTTGTGCAAGCCAATTATAAAAGACGTTGTGAGAATCCCTCTGTCCTGTGTCAACAAGTATGATTTCTAATGAAAAGTTCACACAATTTACATGGAACATCTTGTAACTATATTGTGAAGTAGGGGGAAGAAGACACACTACATTCTGCCATTATCTAGTTATTTAATCTAGCTATTTAACACACATTTAATATATGTGTGTTCATGAAGACAGGTGAAACAGAATTCCTCCCCCAGGACTTCCTGAAACAAGAGGCTCCTTCAATGTTCTTGACTACAGAGACAAATCCATCTCATCATGAACCATAATAGTGTAATACATATAGAAACATGAAAATAGATGAAATCTGTAGGAAAATTTTCATCAATATATGTTTCCCATGATGCACATATAAAATAAGTCTCCAAGGAATGGCAGCAACAAGTAGACACATCAGCTGACTGCTTGGCACAAGATATTTCTGTTTTTCTTGTCTGCTAATAGTGAGTGGTAAATTTTCTGCTATTCCATCAGTTGACCTGAAATAAGGACTGGATATTTAAAACAAAAATACTAGTTTTATGAAAAATACAAATCATTTCTCACAATTTCTGAACACAAGTCTCTGTGATAGAGTTTTAAACAAAATCCAAGTCACAAGGATTACATATTTTCAGTTTGTGCTATGCATCTACCCCTCTTTCATCTCACTCTCTGTGATGGTGTTTTTCCTAATATTTCTTACTCTCTTAAGCTTAAATTTAGCTTAAAAAACAGGCAGACTAAAATTTAGATCTGGGTTTGAATTACAGTGTTGCAAGTTTCCCACTGTTCAATTAAAACATTGCTGTGAACGAGCATAAACTATCCTGAGGGTTTTTTGTGGCATGCAAACTTAACATATTGTTTTTCAGATATCCTGTGGAGTGCACATCTTTATGTATGGTATGTACCATTCCTGGTATTTTTTTTTTTAGTTGTGTGATAATTACATACATTGGAATTAACTGCTGTGCATTTTTAAATTGCACAGTTTATCATGCTGTAGAACCCTCTAATGTTTCTTGATTTGCCACTTATTCTTGCTTACATTTTTAAATTTGATTTTTGTCCTTCCTTAATTGCATTTATTTGCCGACCATGGATGAAGGAGTCTAAAGGAAGGAAAACAGATGAAATTCTTAGTACATACTTTATATAAAAATATGACTGTAAGGACTCAGAAACCAACATTGCTAAAAGGTACCTGTAATAGGATATGGACTCTTACCTCAAGGCTGAGATAGCCTTGTGCCAAAAAACTAACAGGAATGGAAATGTAACCAACTGTACTCTGAGCAGTGCCTGGAAAATCACAGATGAGGAAATGCTGCAGAATGTTCCTGTAGTCTCCGCTGGCTCTTCACATAGCTTCAGTTAACAGGGCTGTCAGTATACCTCTGGTGATCATGAAATCATTTAATGAAATGAAATGTAACCAGCTCTCAAACAATGTAGTGGTTAATTAAGTGTGACCATCAAGTCATGGGAATCATAGCAGTATACAAGGGAATGCTTGTTCATTCCTGAAAGGCCTAGGCAAGAGGAAATACATGATCGGCACAGTTATCTAGATGTCTAACACAGTGTGGCATGGGAACGCTGGCATCAAGGTTCAAACACTTGGAGGAGTTACTGCTGCTTACTTGAGGTTTTGAAAGAACCAGAATATTTGTGATTGTTAACAGATAGCTAGTATGCTTGTGAGAGGCCAAAACACTGGAATGGCTGAGTGACTTGCAGTAACTCATGAATCTGGCTAATCTTGCTTATCTGGGATCACAGATTCTGTGCAAAGCCTCCACATTCAGTCACTCAGACATTCCTTACTCCTGAGAAACTGTGGGAAATTACCAGGTTCTGCTATTTTATTTTGAAGGAGATAGACAAGAGTTCATATTTTTTTGTGCAGCTTATATTTGCAAAGAGCTCTGTAGATAACAAGTCCCAGAGTTTCTGCTGTGGTCGTGTTATAACCACCCCTCTTGGGTATGGTGGAGATGAGATGTGGATATGAAGTAGACTACTGAGGACAGTAAAGTCAATCTGCAGCAAATCTGAAAGGTGAACTTTGAACTCCTGATGTCTTTTCGTCTCAGCCCAAATCTCTTACTTGTGAAGCAGATCAAGGGAAGGCATGACAGCTCCACCCAAGTTGTATGCTGTGCGGCTAGACCTTTCCCATTTTGCCTGCCTTGACACACAAGAGAGAAGTGTGTCTGCTTGTGTGATGGCTGTCCTTGGTTTATAGAACACATTACATAGGGATGGCTAAAGGGCACCTATTTGGGAGGCACTGTATAGACCTGTAAGCACTCTCAGAGAGCAGCCAGGAAGCTTCCCTGAGCTACAGCAGGTCAGCAGAGGGACCACTGCTGAGTCTGCACTGCAAGTCTGCACTGCAAGTGCATGAGGTGTGGGTTTTCTGTGAAAGCATGAGATGGAAAGCAATAATGCACAAGACTCAAGAGGTCTGGTATTTACATGATGTATTCTTGTATGCAATTAAGGAACCTAATCATTCTTTGACTAACACTTGTAATTTAGAAGGTAAGAAGATAGCATAAGCACTGGATGAAGATATATTTCCATTTAGGAAAATAGAAAGGCAAACAAATTATTTGTATTGGGAACTTCATTACCTTGCAACCACATGCCTGCCATCTGAATACACTTTTTCAATCCTTGTGGGGATAAGCAATCCCTTGTGGGGATGGTACTGGTTTTGATGAAAGCTATGGATTGAGAATAGGGAACAGAGATAAAACAAACAGAAAAGATGTAAAATACAGGTACCTTGCTGAATCAAGCACCTAAGCTAGCTGTATCTTAGAGGACATACAAATATGAAGCAGTAATATATTGTCCAAAAAGCCAACATCACTTAACATAAACAAAAATATGATGACATTTGTTTAAGCCAACAGGACTGATTGGATCTCTGTCAAAGATCTTTCTTGCTTCTTGTCTTTAAAGTGAAGAACATCTAAAACCAGTAGATTTTTGAATTGAGAAAGCTGTTTTTTTATAGAATCAAAGAATAATTTATGTTGGAAGACATCAGACCCGAGGAGGTTGTCTTGTCCAACTCCACACTCAAAAGAGGTCTGACTGAATCAGGTCATACCCTCTCAAGGTCTAGATATTTCCTAAGATAGAGATCTCACACCTTCTACGTCAGTATTTGACCACTTCCATGTTATTTTTTTTCCTTGTTATGTAATTTGAATTTCCCATGTTTCTGCTCATGTCTGTTGACTGTCACTGTGCCTCTACAAGAACATTCTGCCTCCATCTTTGTACCCTGAGGTCAGGTAGCTGCTGCAGACAGGTGTCCTCTGAACCTTCTGTTCTTCAAACTGAGCAGACTCAGCTCTCTCAGCTTAACTCACAACTGTGCTCCAGCCCTCAGTCAGTTTGCAGCCTGCTGCTGAACTTGCTCTGCATGTCTGTTTTTTCTGTACTGTAGAATCTTCCTATCACCCCCAAATCGATTTGTACAGGTGCCATATTAATCTTCTCTGTCTCATTTCAATTTTAGTATATATGCTGTCAAAGAGTGCATGAACTTCTTTATGACATAAAGTAGAACAATTATTTTTTTAAAGAAAAGAATCATAAAATCATAGTATCGTAGAATGATTTGTGTTGGAAGGACATCTAAGATCATCTAATTCTAACCCCCTGCTATAGGCAGGGTCACCTCCCAATAGATCAGGTTGCTCAAAGCCCCATCCAGCCTGGCCTTGAATGCTTCCAGGGAGGGGGAATTCACAACCTCTTTGAGCAACCTGTTCCAGTGTCTCACCATTTTCACAGTAAAAAATTTCTTCTAATATCTATTCTAATCTACCCTCTCCTGGTTTATAACCATTTCCCCTTGAAACGTTGAGACAACAGAAAATAAGGTTTTTAAACACTCTTCTGCCTTAACCTGCTTTGGCAGGGGGGTTGGACTCGATGATCTCTGGAGGTCCCTTCCAACCCCTACAATTCTGTGATTCTGTGATTCTGTGATTCTCTGTTACACAATGTTTCCTTATGTTCTGGTCCTTCAGCCCACAAATTTCAGTGTCTCCCTGCACTGTGTATCCTCAATAGCCTTCTAGCATCCTGGGAAAAATGCTTATACTGCTGTGGGCATTTGGTTCTGAATGTGCTCCCTGCCTCCCAGAGCTCTCCTCTCTCCACTTGTGCCGCAGGCCCCTTGTGCCTTTCTCCACTCTCTGTCTGACCTGCTTTGCACTCCAGAAGCTTTTTCCCCGAAAAGTTGCTCAATTGCTGTTGGAAAAGCACAATTTCCTCCTCCTTCCAGAAGATGTCCCTGATTGGGTGCAGCAGCATTGTTCTCTGCTGTCTCTTGAAAGGAACATAATGGTTATTAGCACAGAGTAACTACAAATGAAGAAATTGAAATTGTACGCTCAACATGCTAACAGACACATCCACAATATTGTTTTCAAGAGTTATTCATTAGGGCTTGGCCATGATTTTGGAAACTGCTCAGGGTGGTTTTATAACAGTCAAAAGATGTAAGGTGCTGTGTGTGGGACTCTGGGGTTTGGACATCTTTTGCCACAGCTCTTTACATTTATCAGTGAGAGCATTCAGTTCTTTTGACAGTTGGGACTTGGGTGGGCTCATGGTAGCTGGATTCTGTAACAAGAGGTTGGCAGGACACAGAATGATAAACTCACTTGTCAACAGCCTCTCTAGTTTTCTCAGGAGGACAGAGAGAGGATTTTTTTTGTTTTGTTTGTTTTTTTTACCTCTGCATCCTTTTTATCATGTAGTCCTTGGTAATTTCTCTGGTGTGGATTAATTGATTTTGTATTTGTTTTATAATTGATAATGCCTGCCCAACATGGAACCCTTCTCAGCCACGGATGCTCATTTTGTATCTATTACTCCCTGTTTCCCTCAGCCAGAAGGGAAATTGTATGTTGGTGGCAATGGAGATGGAAGACCAAAGAAAGTAAAGAAGATATTCACAGTAAAGGATGAAAATTGAGTTTGTGCAGCAACTGAGATGGAAAATAAAGCTGTAAGCACCTCTAGGGAGATCTCCAGGGGAGGCCTGAGCAATGAGAGCTGGAAGAAGAACTTAGGGAGCATCTCCAGAGGAAGCAGACTTGTAGCTGCATCTACATCTGGTAAGGCAGTTTCCCTGAGAAACAAATCACCGGCAGAAATGGTTCAAAGTGTCTCAGTGATGCAGGCTTGTATTTGTGACCTTGAAGATGAAGACAGTCACTTGTGTTGTCTTTCATGTAGCACTGTCCTAAAGCACTGCTGACTACTTTGACTGACTTGAGCTGTATTAAGCCTGCTGTGTGCCTGCCTTGGAGCGCTCTCATGATGAGCTCTGCGTTCCTGGGTCCTCACGTATCCATACAAGGGCTTGGTCAAAAGGCTCAATAGGGCTATTTCGGCTTCTGCACCTCTGTTTCCTTCTTATGAAACCAAATTATGGTGTTGGGTTGGTATTCACTAAATTTTCCCATTGCATGAAGTCGGGATTATATTAACATGTGCATGAAGCAGGGAGCTAAAACCACTCCTGGATGCTGCAGCCAGGTGTCTACCAGTCCATAGATCATTTGTGGCTGATTTCTCTTTGACAACATCAGCATTTGCTATTTATCCCTCATACAATATCTACTGATCTCCTATGATTATATACTATATTATATATCTTGTTCTTGCCTCGCTTATCCTGTCACAAAGTTGCTTTCCAGACTTGTACCATGCTTTAAGTGCTTCTGTTTTTACTTTGAAGACAGGGGGCTCAATTCCTACTGCCTTGAA